AGTAAGCAAGACCAGTTGTTGTCCCCAGGGCACAAGTGGAGGGGAAGGGGATGAAAGATTTGGGAATCATTTCTTCCTGTTTTAGTACCTCACTTTGGCAGTAAAGCCGATGACAGCATAGAGGTCAAACAGGTGACAGACCCGGGTAGACTGTCAGGGAACACAGAGGAAGGATTGCTGCTCACTCGCCTCTACTCAGTGAGGTGGGCCTTCTCCATTGAGGTCAAGGAAGTGTTTCTAGAGCTTGGAGTTCAGTCTACTAGGACAGGTCCTTCCAAGGGGACAGAAAGAAGCACACCATAGATGACCCAAGGGTCCTGGATCCCATCCTTTTCAGAACTGCTTCCCAAGGTACATGCGGGTGGAACAATGTCAGAGGGCATCTTGATCACAAACAATTTCTTATTTCTCTTCCCAACACTACCAGTTCCTCATTTAGATCCATCAATGCGGAGTAAGAAGAAAGTGGCCTTGAAAGTGGAAATGAATTATAGGTCAGAACAAAACCGGACAAGGAAGCCATTCAAGAACACGGAGCTCACATCCTGGCACAGGAAAAGGAGCCTGTCAAGACTGATTGGCTGTGTGCATGTGAACATTTTGCTTACCTTTGTTTAAGCGTCCCATCACAGTCAATTCAAAATATTTGCTGTTGTCAGTTGCAGAGTAAAGGCCAAAGATGGTAGCTGTGCTCTTTGTCTGCAGCAGGAAGGTGCAGGTGACATAGAGCTCGTTCAGGGTGGGGTCAGTCAGGATTGGCTGCAGAATGGCTGGGTTCAGCCTCTGGCTGGAAGAGGGCAGAAGATCCAAGACTAAGGGTGGGGAGAGATGAAGAGACAGGGACAATCGGTTAAGGATTCAACTTTGGGACAAACCCATTGATAATTAATGATAGATAAAGGAATGCCAACTAATTTTGGAATCCCTCTTGTGAATTGCCACACTCACCAGTTCTCCCTTATCACTCTTCCACTGGTTGGACACTTGAACCAGAAGGAATAGAGCATACTATTCACTACGGAGTTATGGCTCTAAAAAAAAACACTAGATTTGCAAGCACAAACTCGGATTTGGCTCAAGAAATGGCTCTGAAAACACCCTCTGGGACGCTGAAGCACTGAAGTCTTAACTACAAGGGAACAGACGAGAGCACCGAGAGCCTTTATTTTCCTTGTGTTTCTCCCCCCACCCCCCAAATATGAATTTCTGCTTTGAGATCCTTTCTACATTCTGGGATCAGAGTCAATTGTATTTTCTTGGTAATTGGTAAATGCTGCATAGAATGCTGTAGAAAGCATGGATATTATGGTGGGAGAGATGCTGTCAACCAAACTATTAGCTAACTTCGTAATACCTCCATGTTCCCTTTATGTCATTACAGTTCTCCAGTTGCTCTCTAATAAAGAAATACCAACGTGGACACAAAACAAACCCCAAGCACTGAGCTTATACATGTGTTACTTTATCTTGACAAACAGAGTTGGTGTAGAGTAACTAGAATCCATATTTGCATAATTTCCCTTTGATTCAGCAAGCGGCACTCCCTCTCCAAAACGCTGTACTCCTCAAGAATGCTGTGAGAGCATATGTCCAGAGCCACTTCAATGGTCAAAGCCAAGTGTGGGGAATTCCACTAGAAATTACTTAGCCTTTCTGTTAGTTCACTTGAACGGTACTTGAACAAATCCAATAGGAGCCTGAAGTTACTTTCACACATCGAACTATTTCCTGAATGCCACACTCTGGTGGCCAAAAGATTAGCATCCATAAGAAGATGCAAACTGCCCTTACCAGAGACTACGCGGATGGCTAGGGCACCGCAAAGCACCCGGAAGCACTGGAGCTGTTCAATAAATGTTATTTCTAATATCAAAATATGGGAAGCAGCTTAACTCTCATATTAGGTACATATGAGAGCAAAAAGGTTGGGCCTTCTAAAATGTGACACTAAGAAAAAGGATAATTCCACTGAATGCTTACCAATATACAAAGGCATTCATGAGAAAGGAAAAAAGTTATAAAACATGTTTAACTTGAACCCATTTGAAAGAAATATTAGAATGGAAAAATATTCTGTGACAATGTTAACATTAATACTAGTTATTTCAGAGTCATACTATTTTAAGTTAATTTTTCCTTATCCAATTCCTACCCACCACCAGTGAACAGGAGCTGCTTTTGTAATAAATGTTTGAAAACAAATGCATAAAATAATTGTTCAATAATAGCTACTGTTTTTAAAAGACAACCTCTTTCAAACTGGAGCGATACTGTTCCTTTCGTATGTATCAGGGGACTTCCACAACAATGAGATTAGTATTGGGTTTGTTGGGAAGCAGAATAGCTCATCTGTTCCTTACTTGCTTTTTAAAATTTCCACAATGTTGGAAATGTTTCTACTAGTAAGGGCAAAAGGAAAGAAAGTGGTGTTTGGAAATTCTACTCAGGACAAAATAGTTGCTAGAGAAAAAAAAAGGTATATTTCAGGTATGAGAACCACATTCAAAAGTAATCTCTTGGTATTCTTGATCCTTTCATTGTTTATGATCATGCAAATAATTCCACTCAGGCAAAACGTACCCCAACTTCATCCATTTCTCTCTCAAGGGGTTAGGCTAGTAATAGGTTTTTGAGAGTGTTTTGAAAAGGCAATGAGACGCTACACTTTTCTATTAATGTTACTCCTTTTTAGTAAGAGGATCTAAGCACAACCTTCTATTGTTAGAAATTACTGCTATCAATGAGCCCAACTACCATGGTATGTAAATCGGAATCAAACTAATTTGAGACTTTAGCAATATAGCTCAGAAGGGAAAAGGGAGATAAGCAAATTACCCAGTTGAGCTGATGATTGCAATCCCAATAACCTAATAAAAGAACCTATCAGAAACTTGACTTAATCAGATCATCTCCAGCAAGTCAATTAACCTGACAACTGAGGCTGGCTAGCCACTACACACGTTTCCTTAAAAGAGGACAGCGTCTTCTAAGGAAGCCCGCCAGAGACACCTTGAGGTTGTGCTCAAAAGCCAAGCATTTACACATCACCGATCTTACCCGCAGACATTCAAGCATGGCAGATAACCAGCGCAGTAAGCTTCCTTCCGACTTTGCCACAAGCTGAGGTCACAAGGAATAAATGGTATGGAACACAGCTTCTCAAAGATGTCAACCCAACCCCAAGACGAGCAGAAGAGATTTCTGTTTGCTTCCTGTGGCATGATGAAGGGGTGATTCCTACAATGCTGCGGTGCAGAGAGATCACAGTCTCTTCTAAGGATTCCTTACACGGGATCCTTCCACTGGGCACCGCGGAGAACTACTTTACTTCAAGTTTTATAACTTTGCCAGTTTTTGTTTCTTGGTCAGAAATAAACAAATTTTGGCAGGAATTTTAAACGAATGAAGGTCACCACGTTGGCCAGTCAGTTAGTCTTTTCTTGTTTACTTAAATCATTTCTTCCTCTGTCTGTCCTCCCAAAGTACTATTTAATGTTAAATGCTTCTGCCCAACCGTTATTTCCACCTCGTCTCACAGAGGGCTTAAGGATTGATTATCCAGATGTCTTTTTAAACTATGCACTGAATTTTTAATTTAGAGGGGGAAAAATAACTTAGAAAAAGACGGGCTTCTCTGCCCTTTGTTTTTCTTCTTAATCTCCAGAATCACAAGATCAGGGCAGCTTTTGAAAGAGGGTTTGCTTTGAGAGGAGCGCTGTTAATGAAAGCCTGCACGGAGAAAGGCCGGGATCAGGGCGCAGAGTTAACAGCAGTGGCTTTCTCAGAAGTGTGAGATGTGGACCTCAAGCTGGGTGAACACCTCCCATGTCCTCCGTCCTCCAGTCCTGTCTGAAGGATTTAGGGACAGGGGCCAAAGTGACAGGCCAGAGAGGGCCTCAGGGGACGAGTCATTTTAGTCCTCTTGGGAGCAACTCTCACTTCTTTGCATAGACAGAAAAGAAGTGGTGCCTTCCCCAAAGTGTTGGTAAGGGACTTGATCTCAGCCTGGGTCATGGGCCTCTGGGAAATGGTGCTCCTTTAGTCCAATCACCATAAGCATTGACTCGGTACTTGGAGGGCCCAGAGCAAGGGCCCAGGAGCAAAGGGCCCGGCAGCGCGTGTGGAGTGCTCCCGGGCGCGAGCAGAGCACAGACTCCTGAACCCACTTACCCTGCGGGGTGGCTTGGGCGTCGGCCCAGGGCCAAGGCTGCAGGACCAGGTGCAGCAGCAGGAAGGCAGCTCCTGGCCGGCGCAACATGCTGGGTCTTGGGGATGCCCGCGGGCTGTGCGCGGGTGACAGCAGCTGCGGTCCTGCCTCGGGGTCCCCAGGCTGTCTGCAGGCGGCGCAGCTGTAGGGTGCACAGACCGGGGAGCCGGCAGCTGTCGGGGGGCGGGGAGGGGGTGCTGTCTGGTCCTGGCGGCAGATGAGGAATGGGGGGCGCTCAGCTGGAGACTGGGCTGCGCGGGCCGGCTCTTTATGGTCCGACCGGCCCCCTGGGCGGGGGGAGGACCTACGCTGGCGCGGCCCCCTTGGCGGGGATCTTCTCGTGCCGGGAAGAGTGGGGGTGACCCGAGCCTGGAGCCTGGGCGGCCGAGAGAAAGGTGGGGTTGGGCTGAGCCTGGCCTGGGGGTGTGCGTCCCCCGGGGGTCTCAGAGCGGGAGGAGGTGGGATGAGCCCGGGAGCACTCGGCAGAGGCACGCCAGGAGGACCTGGTGGAGAAGAAGGGCAGCAAAGGAAAGCGAGGAAGAAAGCGCCATTGCTCAGCCAGCTTGGGTCCCCATCAGTCCTTGTACTTCGATTGTTTTCTTCAAAGAAGCACCGCTTTGAAGGCGCGCTCTCCAGGAGCCGTTCTTCGTCCCAAAGTGACCAGGAGGCCCTGGGTTTCCTGCGCTTCTTTTGTGCATTTGCTCTTTGAAGACATCAACAGTTGCATATTTTTCCTATCACGCGTTGGGCCATGAACAGCAAGAGCTCTCTTGTGTTTTAGGGGAAAGAAGACATATCTCGAGGGGCGCAGCAAGGCAGAGCCAATGGTATAGACTGATGGATCGGTGCTTGGTGGACAATTCCTTCTCTGTCTTACTTTCTGGACGTCCACTCTGGTATAGTGTTCCGGTCACCGGAACTCACAGGGACGGTTCGACCCTGTCCTACAGGTCTCCGTGAGTCATAATTCAGTTCTCTTTATTCTCTACTCCACAAAAGTGTTTGTGTGTAGCACATGAAATATATGGGGTGTAGGATGTGAAAGATGGGGAAAAACAAATCATTTTCCTCTTAGACAATCCTCCTCCTCAGAGGAGGTGGTTTAACTAGAAGAAATAGTATTTAAAGAAAAAGGCAAAAACCAAAAAACCTCCCCCACTTACCAGTCCTGTTGAGTGGATATGATCCAGCAAAGTGTTTCTATTCTTTTATGGCAACATAAAAGATTATTCCAATCTTTTATGTTTCCAAGAACTTCATTTTAAAGTTTAAGTAGCTATCTGTTCCTAGCTGGAAGACAGACTCACTATTCTTACTCTCAAGGTGCAGTGTGGCCTCTAATTCCTACTAGGATAGATAGATCTGTAGAGGGAGGTAGACGGCAGCTGCGGAGTGACCTTGTGACAACCTTATGGATATAGCACAGGACCAGACGTTGCTGGGTCCCGCTGCATCATCTCAAAGGCGAGGAGGTTGGAGTTCTTCACTACAGCTACTGTGTGAATCCATCTCCCCGAGCCTCTCCCTTGTTCTGGCTGGCCCTCTCCTTCACCAAACATGTTGTCCTCCTCCAGCATCGGGTCTCACCTGATGGCATACCCAAAGCAGCACGTCAGATCATGTTCTCTTGTGAGTCATAAGGGTTTTGTTTTTTCCTCCCTAACATTGGTAGCTTTCTCCTCCTGTAGAGAGTTGTCGTCTTGGAAACCCACAGGGGTAGGTCCACCCTGGCCTGCAGGGTTGCTCTGATTTGGAGTCGACTTGAGGACAGTGAGTTTGGTTTACCTTCCAGATGTAAACCGCCAAACCTCTCTTCTTAGTGTGTCTTCGTCTTGAAGTTCTGCTGAGACTTGTCCAGCAGGGATGACATCACAGGGAACAACTGACTATATTTCCCCCCCAACAGTTTTATTGGCAAATAATTTGCATATCATATGATTTGATAGTTTAATCAGTTGATCATATCAAAGAGAATTGTGTAACCATCCCTACATCAATTTTGCAGCATGTCCCCCACCCCCACTGGTAAAATCCCCTTGAAGAGGAGTTATGCAATCACAGTCTGTTCTAGTGCTTCCACTCCACTCCTGTCTTCAATAGCTACTCCCCAATCTCCTTCCTCTCCCTATCATCTACCCCCACCCCTGGACTCCCTACATCCCCTTGTATCCATTATTATCATTATGCATCCACTCCTCCTGTGCCTCACAGATGGGAAACTCAACAGAAAAGAGTAAAAAGCAAAATCGTGCTAAGGTGGTAAGGATAGAAACATAATAGTAAACAGACAAAAATGCAAATAATGCATAACGAGGGAAAACTCTCAACGACATTAAAAATGTCAGGGAGGAAATTTCTGTCATGGAATCAGGAAGAAATACTTACACCCAGAACTAATTCAGGTCATGTTTATAAAGTGGTTGTGGCAGTTGCATAATTTCATGTTAACTTGATAAATACGTGTAGGGATGGAGTCTAGCCTGACAATCAGATCACAGACTGATGATGCTCCCTTGTGGGTGTGGCCTTCTTAGGAGGATTCTGGGAACTTCCTCTCTTTCTCCCTGCAGACGGGCCACACACTCTCTCTGCTTTCAGCTTCCTGTTGACAAGCCATATGGAGCCATGCTGAAACCTGTGAGAGCCCTGGAGATGCTTCCACAGCCACTGGATCCACAAGACTTTGCCTCCACTGGCCTTGGTCCTCCTGCATTTTGCATCATTACATGTGCTGTGTGAGTCTGGAGAGGGATTTATTGGACTTATGGAGTAGTATTAGACTTATGGACTTAGTTTGGACTGGGCTGACATGTTTTCTTGATATGCAATCACCCTTTGATATAAAGCTCTTTCTTAAACATATAGGAGTGTCCCTACATTTGTTTCTCTAGCCAATCTGCTCTAAGACAGGGGTCAACTGGCCAAGTACTGAATTTGACCCACCATAATCAAGATCACAATGGTCCCTGTCTGAGAGTAAGGCTGTTTGAGACTCTTGCCTGTGGCTTGAGTGGATCTGCCAGTGACTCAGTCTGACTAGATCCTTTGCAGATGGGTTCTGGGTTCCCACCGTCCCCCACAGCCCTCCACAGATTGGCTGTTCATGATTTTAGCTCTGATGCTTTTCCCTCACCATATTTAAATTTTGTAGTTGTCATCTGTGGATCACACAGGCTGGTATGCTTCTTCTATGTGGACATTGTTGACTCCTCGCTTAGATGGCTGCTTGTTTGAGTACAAGCCTTTAAGCCCCCAGACACTATTCTGATTGGTAGACAGGCACTATCTGCTTTCTTCACCACACTTTGTTGTAGCACCATTATCTTCAGTGAAAATTTTTGTGAAGGTGAGGATTGAGCAGGGCCATGATGGAAGAACTTATTGTTGTTAAGTTGGAGCTAGGAATTAGTGTGAGCCCCAAACCCATTCCTGGACTTATGCCTTTTTAAAAAAAATGCTGTAACTTGGAGCCAATACACATGGCATATCATTCCATAGTTAAATCATGTTAAATATAATTGTACAATTTCTTTCATAATCATGTGTTTTCCAAAACATACTTTTCCTTCCTGGACTTCTTGACATCATCTCTCTCTTATCTCCCATGTCCTTCTATATTGCCCCTTTCCCGAAACCCTTGTTATAGTTTTTTTCCCTGTAGGCTCAGAGTTCCTGGGTTTCATTTATCGAAAAATAAAGAAACAAATAACACAGGGTCAAGGGGGTGAGCCCCGATGGTGACGCATCTCTGAGGTATGCCCTCATCTATACGAGCAGTGGCCTGGCTTTCTGCACTGGGGCAATACGCAAGCCACGTCTCTTGTCGCTATGAGTTGGTATTTATTTGATGGCAGTGAGGCAGATGACTGCAGCTGGCCATGTAATTGGTTAAATCAACAGGATTTTAGCAAAAGTGCCATCAGAGGTTTCACCTTGCTGCCATATGTAAGGTGGACAATTTGAAAGCACTCGCTGCTCCACGTGAGAAAGATGGGACTTTCTATTCCTGTGAGTAGTTACAGTCTCAGAAACTACCCGATCCTAGCGGGTGGTTGAGTCAGCACTGACTCAATGTCAGGGAGCTCGGTATTATAGCGAACTTGTTAACTCTTGCACCTCTGCCTTGGCCATCATAACATGCCTGCATTAAAAGTCATGGAGCACAATGGCCACCACCACCTCTAGTGGCAAAGCCAGCTGAAGCCAGCAGGCATCTGACTCAGACAGGTAAGTGAGCTTGAGCAAGATCAGCAAGGTGACCCAGCTGGATCCAGACATGTGAGCCATCAATGTCTGCTTTTGCATGCCATTGGAATGTAGGGGTTGCTCCTTATGTAGCTTTACTGGAACAATAGATCACGGATACATTTAGTGTCTTGCTTGTCTTTTCTAATGGTCATAATAAAGCTCTTGACTTCATTGCCTGCTGACAGCTTTCAAGACCCCCTGCTCTCTTTCCCTTTCTGCTCCACATTAGGCCAAGCTGATAAGGAAGTCCGGGAATTCCTGTATTTGTTTCAGGCAGGAATGTGCAGATCCACAGCCACCCCCAACCTCTAACCAGCACAAAACACCCAGAGTCACCCTTCTTTTCCTTCGCTCCCAAGTTGTTTTCAGACTAGCTCGGGGCTTCCTGTTTGCCCCAGACAGCCTCCTCATGTGACCGATAAATCTTCTGAAATCCTGATGCGTGTGTGAAGCCATCAGCTGATATTTGAATAAAATTTTGAGTGCAGGAAGCTCATCTTGTCCCATGAGGTTGACCACAACACGGTTCTCCAGAGATGGGAAAAGTCCTCATGTTACATACTACTATGTGGTGCAACTGAGTAGAGACTTTTATATGATTTTTAATTGAGCTATACATAACGTTTTCTGTTGGAAGTATAGAAAGGACTAGAAAGATACTTGTTGATATTAAAAGATGATTTAAAGGGGATACAGTTTACATCCTTCTGAATGATGACAGTTATATCATAGAAATAAAAAATGTCGACTTTGGACTCTAGTTTCAAGTGAAGTTAATAATAAAGGGAGGTGCAGGAATAAGT